TRWRARAGACTTCAAGATTTTTCAGCCTTTGCAGTCTTTATACATATCAGTAAAATGATCATTGGACTGTTCATTTTATTTTAACAACATATGTACTAAAAGGTATTTTGACAACAAATACAGTATATCAGCTGTAGCAAAATCATATGAATTCTGGCATTTTACACATAGTCCACCAGGATGCGCCAACACAAAAGTCAGAGACTTCGCATGAGATTTGGACCATCCTGTGGGGGAAAAGCAGATTACTTCCTACTCGCGAGCGCCCCCTCTGGTGGGGAAACGTTTTTTTCAGGGATGCAAACGTTTTCAGAACACCTGTAGACGGCAGCCATTACAGACGAACGTGTTTGTTGTTGTTCGAGGAGCGGCCCGGTCACACGCTAATGTCATTAGTTCATAATCATTACTAAGGTGCAGGAATACTTTTCCCCTCTTTTTTTCACATCACATTACCTGCCTGGATCTGTTACTATCTCGCTCTGAAGCACGGAGGAGTGTCAGAGGTAAGGTCGTTTCAACTGCTTTTTACGACGCGGTCTCATTTCCGGACTCAGGCATTTTGTGAATGAAGCCGATATTTCAGTTAAAATACATAAGTYAAAATATTTATCCYAGTATAYTACTACCCCCCAACTTTATGGATGATTTTATGGATTTAATTTTACGTATTATACTTGAATAAATACGGAAAGTAAAAGTAAAAATACCTTAACCTTTTGGGAAAAATTAATTTCACAGATAAGAAAAGCACTTATGTAAAAGTGATAAAACTGCTCACAATAACTGGGAAAGCAAAAACACTTTTACACACACTTTAAGAAATGAAGTGTTGAATTTACTGAACCAAACTAGTTTAACTAAACAGAGCTGAATAAATTACTGTACATTTACTCAGTTTAGTTAAACCAGTTGACACAATTTAGTTAAGTAAATTCAATACTTCATTTTTCAGAGTGCATAAACAACTCTTTTCATGATGAGTTTGATCGTATTTAAATTTGTGAAGTGTATCGAAGTGTAAAATTTTAAAGTAAAGAAATAAAAGTATCTTTTTTTATGTTTGAATGTAAGAAAATAAAAAAAATACAGTTAAGAAAAATACTTTATAAATTTACAAATCCTCAAAATAATTACATGTAATTTACATTGCCTTATTGTGCTCAGTGTGTGGTGTGGGTATAATAAAATATATGTAAAAATTATATATATTGTTGTATTTGGAATATAAACAAGGCTCTAATTGTTATGTAATGTCCACATTTCTTTCATTATTCAGCTACTATTTAGATGATTGTTTTGTTACAAAGTACTGATTGCATGGCAGCAAGTATTACCCACTGAGTTGATTGTAGTTCAAAATTTGCTGTATTGAAATAAGCTGTCAGAATTATATAATGCTTCCAAAACAAAATGCTATAAGATACAGCTGTGAGTCTCTGAGGATAACTTATGCTTTTAGTACTGAATAAACAAGCTCCCATTTGCAAACAAGTGAATATAGTGCTAAATTAATTCGATATTACCCCCATCATAAGTCCAATGAAATGATACAACTTGTTAAATGTTAAAGTGGTTTTTATACTGTAGGGATGCACCAGTCCACTTGATTCACTTCCAAAATTGATACAGATGTCTGCGGTTTAGTATGTTTTTAAACCAAACCTTTTAGCTTCCGACCCACAAACTGAAAGCGACAAAGACTAAGTTGAGACCCCGTTTATGGTTGTTTTAAATACACAAAAAATACTAATAACCCTTTTAAACCAGGGTATAATGACAACACAAACGGTCTTTACATCCACAATTTCAATTTTGTGCACTTATGATTGCTCTTTTAAAATTTTTATTGGAACTGTTATGGAGATGTGCTTTAGGCAGCTATTTTAAAATGTTTGTCAATATGTGGAGATTGATAAAAAAACAACAACTTTGTGTTAGATGACACAAATTAGAGTTATCATAACTTTAAGATCCACTGGTTTAAACCACTCAGTCTTGCTTCCATAAAAGCAAAGACATTTACATTTAGAGATGCTAATACCCAAATACTGCTTTTCTCCATCTATAACAGTAGGGGGCAGTCTCACATTATGAACCACGGCTGCGTGCAGATCATATGTTTCTTTCTTTAAATATATATTTTTAAACCAAATGTCCTATAGCATAGAGAAAATAACATTTAAATTAAAAAAATATAAAAATGTAAAACCTCACAAGATAGCAACTGGCAAGCTCCTCTTTCCTCCTAAGTACTGTATTTTCCAGAATTTCCTTTTACATCCACACTCCAATAAGCACTTTCTTCCACATATAACCACCTATGTAAAATGACGATGTTAGCACAAAATAAAGTACAGCTGTTGAGTTTTTCCCCATCAGTGCAGCTGGTCCACAGTAAACCACAACTTATGTTTCTGAGCGGCTTTATAGCTTTGCTGGGCAAGCTGGCATTTCTAAAACAAAGTTTCTTATTGTTCAGTTTTCTGTGCGTTAAGCAGAAAGTGAAGAAGTGCAGGTGTTCAACTGTAAAGGTGTAAACCACAACAGACTGCTGCATCACCCCGCAGGGTTTGGTGCTCTCTATAATCACAGATTACAGGAGACTGAAGGAGATGAGATAATTGTGCGTCCTCTGCAGTGTTTGCATGTGTGAGTGAGTCAGGGAGCACATTTAAATATTCTGATAGCATCGCTTTGATTTTCTGTGCATTTCTTTATGTGAATGTGTGTGGTCTTGCCAACGAGTACACGTTTGTGTCATCGTGTTCACACATTTGTCTTTGCTACTCATCTCATGAATGCTCGACACCGTGCCTGTCAGACGGCTCTGCCAAAATAAACATTCGAGGGCAGGCGGGCAAGTCAGATATATGAATTATCTGTCTCTATGGTCTGCCACCTGACCTTTGGGGTTTTTTGGACATTTGTGTGTGTGTGTCTGTGTGTGTGTGTGTAAACTCAGACACGGCCTTTCTCTTGGGTCTAATCTGGGACTCCACAGGGAGGCTATCAGGTTTCTCTTGCTCCCCCCACCTCCTCCCCGTGTAATCTGTGGCTGTGATAGAACAGTGGGGACTGTTGTGTGTCTGTGTGCTTGGTGAGGGTAGGGGTCTGTATGTGTGTGTTTCTGTGTGATGACAGGTGGCACAAAGTCAGCAAAAGAAACCGTCTAGACCAGGTCAGAGCGCTTAAACTCTCCTTGATTTTGTTTTTTAAAAAATCAATGAAAGAAGGAAACAAATCAAGACGGATGATGCTGCATCACTCCTCACAGTCATAAAGTGAACTAATTACTGCATAAACAAGTGAAGCTTGTAAGCTAAAGTAGAAGGAATGTTTTAGGTCTTTATTTCTTGACTAGCAGTTGTGTGCGTGTGTGCGTGTGTGCGTGTGTGTGTGTGTGTGTCTTTGCATTGTTTTACAGATATATTTTTACATTAGACCACCATTGTGTGGATATTTCGCCTCCATACAATGGAAAAATTACATTTTTTGGGTAAGTGATAGGTTTGGGACTATGCTGGAAGTTTGTGGTGGGGGTTAGGTATGTACTGAGGTGGTTAGGTTTAGGGTAAGGGTTTATGATTGGGCTGTAAGTGTGTAAGAATATGTCCATACACAAGTCATCAGCTGTGACACCTCTGATGAAGACGGAAGTAAAACTTCGAAGCATGTCAGGTTTGTCTGAAGAGACATAAAATAACTAAATGTCTAGTAACAAAAGAAAGATTTTAGGATCTATTAAATGTATAGACACAATGAACTTCATTGGCTTATTACAATATTTCATTTCCTGATACTGTATCGATTCTAAAAAGCACATTATCGGTTTTTAATAGTTAAGGCTTAATGGTTTGATAATAAGAAATATGAAATACAAATCAGGGTTTCCCGTAGGATTTTTTTTAAACCATGGTGGTGGCCTCTCATGCGATGGGGTGACAGGACCAGACAAAATTTGACAAAATGTAATTTCATAAAGTATATTGTTCTGTATACAAATTTACGATATACAAATGTTCTCAGTCAGTCAGGTTGATTTCAGGAGCTGCTTGAGTAAAACGTCCTCCTCCTCCTCCTCCTCCTCATCCTCTTCTTTGAAATAGAGACCAAAAATCAACATCCATAAGCTTTCTGCTTACAGGTCAAACACTTTCATTTAAATTGGAGTAAACTGTGCATGAACTTATTAAAAGTTACAGTTTAGTGTTCTTAGGACTGAAGACTTTCTAAAGAAAGGGAGTTTAAACAGCTGTCATTTTAGTGTGTTTTCAACTGAGGAGCTTTGATATATTTATTTTAAAAGTATAACAGGAAGTTCTCTGCACAGAAAATATTACTGTTTTTTTTAACCAAACTGACAAGTTTCTCCAAAATGATTGTGTAATTTAAAGGCATTGAAACACCTGGTTAAATTTAGCAGATATTTATGATTAACTACAAACACCTGAAGCTGACTCAGAGAACTCTGTGATTTTAGAAAAAAGGAACTATGTGATTTTAGAAAAGAAAATGAAAGTCAAACGTAGACACGTCTTTAAAAGACACCCCGCCCCCACCCAACCCCGCATGGCTGCGGTCCGCTTGCACCTCCACCCCACCCGCGTGTGATTAATACTGATTTTTGATGCTCATTATACAGGTAACCGTCTGAAGGGGTTGACATGTATGGACTCTGAAGTCCCGGGCTGGTCGGAGCTGCGCTGTGTGTGGAGAGGTGCAGCTGCTGCAGTCGCTGCCCCTCACTTTAAAAACAGTCAGCTGATCTGTCGCGGTTTTGTTATGCTTGTGAACACACAGTGTTACGGTG